ATTTTCAGACTCGTTCAGATCATGATAGCAGTAAAGTATTGAAGGCAGGTGCTTCTCATTGTTGAGAAATATCGCAAGTAACAAATTCTTTCTGCGATCGTGAATGCGATAGAGTGAAGATACATTCATACATTATTAAAAGATTCTGGTGCACGAACGTGTGCGAAAATGTAAAGTATGTTCGTCCAAGGTCATTTTCGTCGAATGGAGAGAAAAAAGCAAGGAATGTAAAGCACTCAAGTGCTTCCTAGCACTTGAACGCACATCAGTCTTCAGGTCGAGTGGACCATCTTCAGGTCCGGCTTGACCAAGGAACGATGCCATACTCTCGTGGCTTTGGAACACTTTTGTAAAGGAACTCAACAAATAATGGATATCTTAGTGGTCAAGGATGCGATGCAAAAAGTGCTCGGCATCTTGGCGAGAGTGCTATCTTGCATGTAGGATGGAACTTCGTGTGGCGTAAGACGTTTGACATATCGAAGCATATGTGCGGATGATGAGAATTCAATGTTGAGTCCCATCACTCACATATGCAATGCCAAATTTTATGCAAGTTGAAATTACATATAGAGGTGTGACACTCCATGGTGGGCTACAGATTTGCAATTCAAACTTATCACAGCAGGAAATAGCTGAAATCGCATTCGAAAGTGCTCGACTTGTTCGACTTATCCTGTCTTGACTAAGAAGCTGAGAAAGCTCGATATAGTGGAATAGTTTGGAAAGTCGCGGGAAATAAGATGATTGAACAAATACAGAACCGCCAAACCGAAGACATCCAGATATATTCTAAGGGTCTTACATGCAAATAGGATCTTTCCTGGTACACAATTCTTGCAAATTCTCTTGAAAGTATTCTCGTAATGAATGGAAGAATTTAGACCCCTGGCTATGTAGGATCACTTGATGATATGCCCTCCTTACAATATAAGTAATTCCACATTACTAGATTCTCATAGATCACTTGCTCATGGAGAGTCTACAGATCGAGAAAAATAACAGATGCATGCAACATAATGACGAGTATATCGGTACCAGTTCAACCCAAATGTCTAAAAGAAGACCTTTCATGCCAGAGGCTGGAACTGGTCATCGAACAACTCAAAGATTTGAACAACGGTTTCCGCGGACGGATCGCTGTGCTGTAAGAATTGTATTCACCGTAACTTGAATGTTACATAGCTGTCGTGGTTCCCAATGCCGTAAAACATTATCAGTTACAAGATGCAAACCCTAGGACTCGCCACTTTGAACTCCACAGTGCTCAGTTCAAGACTTTGATATCACTTTCCGCATGTAACCAAATAAACTTTCCGATTCGTCTTTTACGGTACGTCTCGGTTTTCGGAGTGGGAACGGGAACCCAAATGCTTGTCCTAAATCGGCGCATCATCATTCAGCACTATGCCAAAGGCGTGCGTCCGAGCATCATATGGTGTCCTCCGGCTGTTCCTTAGGCCAACATAGTGTACTGTACCCTGACACGCTTGCCGATGGGTCAATACCGGTCACCCCTGCCCGATTACCGGCGTGGAGGTTTCACACGCGGGATGAAAGGCCAGTTATAAATCATGGTGAGCCCATTGATAAAAATGCTCAGCTTCAGACAATAGACAACTGGTTTATTTCGTACGATCCGTCGTCCTACATGATGATCACGACCATGATTTTCTGTCTGTACTCTGTAGCGTCGCTACAGTAGTTTGGGGGCGGAAATTCGCAACTTCTCACTTGTCTGCACCGGTAACCGTGTTCAGTGGGTACTGCCGTCATTGGAACCTGAAACTTTGGACTTCTTTGTACCGCAAGTTCTCCTCCAGGTAAATGCCACAACACAACAAATACAAATGCCTTGGTCAGCAAAATTTTATTTTAATTTTTTTTCAAACACTTTTCCACATCATAACTCAGATATACTTAATTTTCTAGACCTCGCAACACCCAAAGAAGCAAACAGTTGGCATCTTGGGCTATTTATATCAACGATTGCACTCCCCCACCGAATCAAAACCTTTCGGCTGTAGGAATCAGGAGGGTCAAGGTTGTCGCTTTCTCTTCCTTCCAAATGTGATTGAGCAAAGCTGTCTGTTGCTAAATCCCTATATGATGTCCTAAGTGTTGTGGGCAAGAAGTTTAAATCATGGGAAGGGGAACGGAGATATTTTGGTGGACAATACGGGTACAATGTGGATGGTTTAAGGTTCAGTGACGTAGCTTGATGACTCTGTTAATCAGTTTAATGTGAAAGGAGAGACGCATGGACTGCAAGCGAGGCTCAAACACATCGATTTACATACAAAGGCAAATGAGGCAGAAATGAATCAAAGGAAAAGAGAATAAAGGTAAATGTTCTCGCGTACTGTATACACACGAGTTAGCAACACATAAGATGAATGTGTTGGTGATTGAAGTCTTAGTTGTCTTGATTGGCCCTAAATATGACTTTTTAAGATAAATATCTGCGTATAGGTATTCGGTAAATACGACACTGTCTTAGTTCTCAGTTGCGACAAATCAGTGGTCCCTTGACCGTCATTTTCGTTACTCATTTCCCTGAGTCCAAAGAGGGATAGAGACATAAGAGGAGAACTGAGATGTCCGTGCAGAAGACGGCACCAAACATAGCGAAGCAGGCTTTTGAGCGACCCTGGTAGTCGGCATGACTAGGCTGTAAGAGATAAAGCACTGTGAGGAAGTCACGTAGCGAGACCTCCGCCATCATATTCTACTGTCGAAGTCATATTTAGTTGGACAGCTTCGGATACGGTCCGATCGAGCTAGACAAAAGACGTCGTCTCTGCTTCATTTATTTTAGAAGTGCGTAGCAACTCGCCGAAGCTGACCAGAGAGCGAAGTCAATCTGACAGCTAGAATGTCAAAAGTCCACTATCAAAACTACGTGATTCGTGAATCTACAAGGGCCAAAAGAATCTGTCCTTTCCAGAAAATAGTAACCACGAATGAGGATGTTATGTATTCTTCGACCATCGACCGAGTAAGCTTAAACGGTTCACCTGACCCCGGAAGGTCTATCCTATGAAGGTTCGGCTTCGAGCTGAAGTACACATGATCGAGACTGATTTGCCCATGACGAATCCTTCTTTTGATATTATATTTTCTAATCTTATCTGTGTATCTGACAAACAAAATTAATTGTTTGGAATTTTTTAAAATAAAATATTGTAGTTAATAATATTCAAAAAAGACTTCAAAGCTACATTGTTGGTAGGGTAGAAATTGAGAAAGAATTCCTTCTTTCTCAATTTCCACTAAAAGACATGTTTTTTTCGTACTGGATAACTGATTGAGAAAGAACGCGTTCTTAGTGGAAATCGAAAATAATATTGATTAAATTGATGCTATTATAATATTCTCATACTGGATGATATCTTAACCAGTAAGAAGAAATTAGTACAAAACCTTCTGTATATCCAAAGAAGATGGAAAGATGAGCATTGCATCATACAAAATAATTAATTAAAATCTATTCTTTTAATGGGGGGGGGGGGGGGGTATATATTATTATATATTGAAATATTCCTCAGTCTTAGCGTTATACTCTCGTCATAAATACAAAACTACTTTGTTGGGGTCGATCGACGACTTTGAAGATTCTTACTCTGCGTCAGGTCCACATATTTTCTGTTACTGGTTAGATGTAATCCTAGGCAATATAACTTCTTCATTTTACTGCCGATAAGAAAAGGGTACCATAGCAGAGAGAGAGAGAGAGAGAGAGTGCGAGAACTGCGAAAAGACACGAGAGAAATCCACTAAACACCGGAAATTGGCCACAATATTTGCAAGTGAGAAGAGGAAATAACTTCAAAATCTCACACAGAATCTCAAATGTCATCGAAAAATGTCATTTAACCACCACATGAGGGAGATGCGCCAATGTGTATACTATAATATATGAAACAAAAGAAGCCTTCCAAGAAAGAGATATACAAGTCTACATGATTATAAATCCTGAGAATGACGAGCTCCTCTAACAAAAATTCTCCTTCTGGAAGATGTCAAATGAGAAAATAAGACTCATTACTAATTCATATTAGGTGAAAAGGATCACGTTGCTTCCCCAGCTTTTCTCAACATGAGGGGTATGTTCCTAGCTTACCAGCCCAACTGCATATTCGTGTGTGGTTCTTGTTCGCCTTATTTGGTTCCTACACGTTGTATCCTCAATCATTTCATGATTCACGTTTAGTTCGACTCCCTTGATACTCACTGGTTTGGAAACGTGCTCGAGCAACGTGGGATCTGCAAGGCTTTCTTTGAGTCCATTGACACTCCAAATATGCCAACCAACTACCTTCGAATTTCGGAAAAGGCGAAATCTGGGTATAGACAATCAATCAGAAATTCTTTGTGTGATCTGCGACGACAGCATCCCTCTGGGCGGGGCTTTTCAGGTCGGGCCGGGCTTGCCGGAGAAGACCTACCCTCAGTCATCGACGACTCGGATGGGGTCCTCCCGTCCCTTCGGCTTTATTACTTGGGGTCCCCGCTCGAGTTCTTCGAACAAGGACGGACGAGGACTTCGGATTCCGTTGCGTCCTTGTGAGGCCAAGTACTCTTTGGGTCCAGGTGTCTGAGAGCCGATCACTTTCGAGTCCAGTCAGCATCGTGCCCTTGACCAGGCTCAAAGAGGCCGCAAGATCGAGCACCGGGCCCTGGTTCGTTGCACGACCTCGCTGCTCCACTCGTCGTCCCCAAGACGACGAGCTCCGTGCTCTCGCGTACTGCTCTCTTTCTGGCAGAGCGGCGATGGCTCAGACGTCCGAATCGAGTGCTTCGGCGTGACATTCGATCTTGCGTAGAGACGTAGAGACGTAGAGACTTGTGCTTGCCGGAGAGCCAAGTAACCCGATCGACTGGCGACTGACTACCGGCGTCGTGGTGGTCTATTTTGGCAGGGACGATGACGATGCTTCTCGTACCGTCGGGGTCTCCTTCTTTGCGAGGGTTCCGAAAGTCCCACTGTCCGAGGGCATGATTTCCGCTGTCAGAATTACGAGACTGTCGACCATGCTCGAGATATGCGTGCCGTGAGCGGGAGTGTGATGTGACCGATGTTTTGACCCTCCGACCGAGCGGTCTGACTGCGTATCAAATCATGCAGCCCTTTTATTCCACGCAAATCTAGAGTGCGGTCTTCATTCTCGTAGTTGAGACAGGTGAGAATCGCGTGTTGAGTTTCGCATTCTTTCATCGATGATGAGCCGTTGACTTGTTTGGCTAGTCAGAAGCCTTGACCGGCGACATAACCGGAGTCAGCGTAGAGACGACAAGAGAATAGAGGAGGAGGAGCAGCAGCAGCAGGAAGTAGTTTTTACGGTAGGTACGATGGCAGTGTCAATGCATTTTCGCTGAGGCTTCGACCTTTACCAGAATTCGGTTTCTCAGCCGTTCCAAGAGTACGGGAGTTGCTCCATCGCATCCATTAGCCTCCCGAGTACTGTCAGTGGGGATGGTAGAGAATTGCGGATTGCAATCCTGCAACCTTTTCACAGCAAGCCATTGATGTGTCAATGTAACGGCGAATCTTGTGTGTCTGGACGCCGAAACAACCGTCATAGTTGGATCGATAGCGGGCATCACGAAAAGATCTTGCGATGGAGCGTCTGAAGATCGGGGACGGATTGATAAGACTCCTACCAGCTACGAGGAGTGAGTGACATTCATGTATCTTGAAGTGGAACAAATGGTCCTTTTCGTCGGAAGGTGACCAACGCCCGCGATACCTTACCCATCGCTCTACAAACAGGGGCCTACGTCCGAAAGGCGATCGGATCACGCAACGCTTTCGCCCTTTGATCGTGCTGGAGCACATAGCACATTGCACCAGATTTAGATTCCAAGCTCGTCCATTGAATCCATGTGCTTTCAGTGCACGCATTTCCGTGAATCTTTTCAGCGCGAGTGCGAGTAGGCTCTACGAAGCCTGCCGGAGTTTAAAACACAAAAGGAATCGATTGCATGAATTGCACAAAATCCTCACCATCAATCGACCATGTGAAAGCAACACCGTATCTAATGCTCTTACGAAGTTGGTAGTATCGGGTGGATATTTGGGTCCACCACTTGATGATTCGAACTTTTGAACCGTTCCCAGTCTTATCACTGCGCGGTCCAGCCACTATCAACTGTCGCGACTCCAGCCGAAGTACGATCAAATTCCGTCTCTTTACTAACAATCATCACCAATCACCGCCGCGCTCTACCACCAGCCACCAAATTATGATCTTTAAGTCCCCAAGTTCCAGAAGTTTCTTCTCGTTTGATTGACAATTACCGATCCCGACCGTAATCTATCCAGAACTCGTGAGTTACCGGGCTTCAGGCGATGAGAGAGTCATCTTGCATGTCAGTCATTCTTGAGAATTATCATTAACAATACGTCAAGTGAAAACGTCCAATTTAAAGTGCCGTGGATTTATCGTTGGACTTCTGTTCATTCTTATCAAGACTTTAGCATGAGGTTCTATGGTATGCTGCTGCCAGAAATCCGTGGCACCCAGATACTCCAATTTATTTACTCACGTGGATACTCGAGCGAATTGTATGAATTGTTGTGTGCTTGGCTCTGTTTATGGGTGATAACCGCGCAATTGGCTAATCCAAGAACTTTCTCACCCCCCTGAGGAAAAGGACGTTGTTGCATGTGGAAACATGTGCTCCTGCATGTAGAGAAGCCTTTTGCTCGAAGGTAGGTGCACGTCGAGTTGCAGGACTGGCGACAATGCCGAAGTGAGTGCTTCAAGCCTCATTCATTCTGCACTAGATCGAAGCTCGGCTCGGTCGACTCTGGTTGCACGCATGTGTACTATGGAGACAGACTATGGTACATTCCAGATCCACGCTTCTGCTTCATGGACGGTGCTAGGTGTCCCAGACTCCTGAGTTCCGCCCCGGAAGACAGCTCCACAAATTTGCCGTCGATGTCCACACGGTAAGCCATGCCTGGAGCTTTCGGAAATCCGCGGCCCACCAGCCTCTGCAGGTCCATGTGGTGAAGCTCCCTTCCGTTCACAGTGATTCCTGTCGATCCGCCTGCACAATCTGCGGCCATGGGGTAGTCGAGCTCGTGTATTAAAGGAGGGATGATTCCCCGACATGGTCCCCCAGCAGCTCCCCAGAAGCCAGCTCTCGAGTCATACCAGTAGTCGCCCGGATGGATAGGTCCTGCTTGTAATTCGGCTTTCCTGACACAATCATCTCGTATTTTCACACCATTCACCACAACTCTCCGACGATAGTCCTTGGGAGTGGACCTCCTTGACCTCGTCCTTGTGAACTTGAGCATGGCCTTTTTGGTGCTCTTGAATGCTTGCAACACCTTTCCAATGTTCGACCTCTCGTGGAAGCTTACGGGCAATCCTCTCTCGCCCAGCGAGTTCCACCTCTTGAAAAACTTCTTCTGCGCCCCATGCACAGGACGGGTAGTCCTGGGGGTGGGATTGCTCTCTGCGTCCTCGTGATCTCGTTTTGGTGAATGGAGCCTGCGAACGAATCGCTCGATGATGGGAGCATCACAACAAGAAGATTTCTGTCCTATTGGTAGAGACTTACCCTCGGGGTACGTCGAAATCCACAGCTCGGAAGGATTCAGAAGTGAACCAAGGTGTGTTTCCGGGCTCGTGATAAAAATTTGGTGAGATTTGGTGGTCCCTCTGTAGGGAAATTCGAAAATGGACCCTGCTGTAGGGGAGGAATCTGGAGAATTCTGATCGAGGCAAGTAGTGAACTGCGATAGTTCTCTCTCCGCAGGAAAACAAAAGTCCGAGGATTCTGAAGAAGACGGTGCATTGTCGCTGTACTCTGTCGATTCATTCTCGAGTCCGCTCCACCGGACCTGAAATTGGATTCGAGCATGACTAGATCCGATGCCTTTTGACATCACTGGGGATGAGAGCTATGATCGGTAGAGAGATCCGTCTGTCGCGGCTGAACGTACACATACGCCATATGAATGATCCGACGAGACGCATTCTTCAAAATTCGCTAGTCTTGTGGTCATCGGAAGTGGGTGAAGTGGTTGGCAAAGGCCAAGACCGGTCTTCCGAATTGCACTATCTTTCACTGACTTCTCACGCAATCGTGACGGAATACTCCATGCTGTGACATATGTGCAATACCATTTCAATTTGATTTCAGATTTGAATTTCATCGTTGCCAACATAACTCTGTTTCGGCGGACGCACTTCGCAATCTAGTGAACGTTACTCGAAATATAGTGTGGCAGCTTCTATACTTTGATGCCTTCGTTCAAAATATTTCAAATGTATTCTAAATCCTCGAACACGAATTGGGATTGCATATGTGCGATTGAACTGCAAGCAAGAGCAGGGTAAGAAGCCGTCTAGTGTAATAGCTTCTTGGCGACGCCTCTCGGAAGAGATGATGAAGCTCTCGCTTGCCACAGCTCCTTAGCCACACCAGACTCTGATATCATGTAAACAGATCGAAAAAAGAGACCTTGAGGTCTTCCAAGCGCACACGATATTATCAAGGAGTTTAACATATGCCGTCCTTCGCATCCCCATCTTGCATCCGCTAACTTCCAGTTTACGTGAAAAAATATATACAATACTTTATATATATTCTCGATCTATTAAACACACATAGGTTGCATGTAGGGATGTGTAAAATAACTACTGAATTTAATAGTTATACTACGTGCAACCCATGTGTTCGAGCCTCTCCGTCCAGATCAGATATGCTCGCAAATTGGAATGAGTAATTTCTGTTTTGCCCTCGCACTCTTCGTCTGCGAGTGCTCGACCTTTATTCGCTCCTAAGGGTGCGTGGGCGCTGCTGCCATTTTTGGGGAGACTCGTGTGTGAGCTCTTACTAGTGCACTATCCGCTGCCAAGTGTAGAGCTTGATGTCTCAACAATCTATGACGATGAGCGTGAGATAGCTCGGCTATGACCAAGAGAATGGGTGATCCACAATAGTGACATTCAACACAAGCGACTGCTTTGCGAAAAGGAAACTGATTTGATGGAAAACGTGCTAGAGCCACTCTCGTGCTGTGATGCTTCTCGTGATCTTTGTTATCTTTCATTTACGAGTTTCCCAAGCAACCTTAGTTGAAGAGAGTGCAATCATTGGTCTTGCTCCTATTTGCAAAGTGCGGTTCGATCGGGACATCGTATTTCCAGGTGAAACATTTCTTCTTGGTCTTCGTCTTTTTCTTCTCTTATGCACAGATCATTGTTCTCTATGAACGAAGAATTGGTCACTTGGAACTGGCTGTCGCTTCATGCCGGTGCCCTGCCACTAAAATAGGGAGAAAACAGAATGTGGAGGTTGTCATTAACGATTAGCAGTTCCACGGTTTGCACGACAACACCAAAGGAACTCGATCACAACATTTCCATCCGCATGTACTCGTTTCTTCTGTGTAGAGACCAGCAGTGATCTTTCTGTAAAATCTTTCTTTCCAGATTCTTCGGTGAAGGCAAAAAAATTTGTCTCATATATGCAGGACCGGAGATTACAATTAATGTATGCATTCCGTTGGACAATGCCTTTTGGACTCTGGGCTGGAAACAAATATTCCACAGGATTTAGTCAAATAGACTCGACCGAATGCTACTTCTAGTAATGAGATGTCACAATACAAGTTTCAACATGATATACACCTGGACCTGCATCTTGACCTGCATCGTCTGGATCAAAGCTCCAGGTCCTCAACTTGTTTCCACTGTGAACCAAAGAGTGCTCTTAACTGGTTCCCTAGCTGTTGAGTGAGGTCCTTGTCACTCTCCAGCCAGTAGAGGAGAGCACCGTACCTCCTAATGATGGTCGCCCTTTCCACACAATGTTCAGAAATACTTGCAAGTCCTCCTCTTCACTGAATCTAACATATACACTACCGTGCACGAGTATGGTAGAGAAATTTTGTTTAACGAAGCAAGAAAAACGTGGGAGCATAAGACTGAAGTAAAGAAGTTCGTTCCTTCCCTTCGTGGTTAGCACGCTGAGACAAGACTCTTCTGACCTGTCTCATCCCACCACCTTTTACACGAAATCTCTACCTTGAAGTTCGTGAGATTCTGAGCTTCTCACCTTGCCATCATGGGAAAACTTCAAATCAATGGAAAGAGATGTGAGAAGGAATTGATAGTTTGACTGTTTTGACTTTCCATCTCTCATCTAGTTGTTGAACGATTAGAAACTTGAAGCGTCAAACCAATTAAATAGCGAACCAGTGAAACTGGGTACTAGGCTTAAATAGCTCATTGAAGAAAAAAGGACTTTTACTACTTTTAATTACTGTACTACAATTACAGTAATTTCGTTGAGTCTTTGTAATCTCTCAAAAACGTCACAAGAGCTTTCTAAATTCATGAGTAGACTTTGAACACCACCAAATCACTTATGCGTGTATGGTTCACATGGGTGGAAAAAACCCGGTTTGTTTTTCGGCTCAATCGGGTTTTTGGTTTAATAAAATAAAATTCAACTTTTTGCGATAAAAACCAAGGTCTTTTTATTGACACATGAACGTTTCTGAAGTGACTTCTTTGAAATATTTAGCGAGGCGGCAAATTAATCAGTTGATATCTAGTAGATACCAACGACTGGGATATAATAATATTGATGATATCTGATTAAAACCCAATTTTGGTGTTGCTCATTAAAACCCGATTGTAAAAAACCGCGCGGTGCCGAAAGCTGATGGTACAGTGCGTGATATTGCGCGACATTAGAGATGGGCCCACCACTGAAACAAAATGTACACGTTCAATTTGATGGTTACTGGATCACTACTTTGAACATACTGTCGAAGCTATTTCTGCAGTTATAATCAGTGGAGACAACAAGTTATAAGATACCTCTACTCACGTCTGCACAACTTGCGTCAGGTGAGAGATGTTCGGACAATTGATGTAAGTGTCTTTGTGATCAATATCAAACATAGAAGAATACATTAGAACCGTAGTCATTTTTGTTCCAGTATGACTTCCCTCCCAAAGATCCGGGGGCCAATTTGATAGAAAAACGATTGGAACACTTGTGAGTCATAATTTGTTCAAGCAGTTTAAGTTTTATTGAACATTGGGATAGTGAGTAGCAACGAATGCGTTTCTTCACCATATCTACAAACAATTCCGTAAATTGATATAAAGACGTATCCAATGTAGTACCTCATGCTTAGGTAGCGTTTAGTTAGGCAGTATTCATGGACTAGCGAAGAATTGCAAGGGTCAAAAATAGTTTTGGTTTGATAATTTACGAAACGATCATAGAATTGAAAAAAAATTACAGAAATCATCACTGAAGTCCCCTTACTTCTAAACACCATAGTGCTATGGACGAGCTAAGACGATGAGAGAGAAAACCTGGCTGCAACAACTGGTTGAGAGATGAACACAAAGGCGAATACCAAACACAAGAAGGTAAGAACAGTAGAGCATGACTACACACCAACTACAATACTTTATTAATCCATCAATTGGTGTTGATATGCTGAAGTTTGTCACAAGATCTCTTCTCTTTATACTCCAACTGTTCTACTTATCTCGTCTAGATGAGTTGAATTTGGAATGACGAGGTGTCGAGACAGCGTTAGGCTGCTGTGGCCGCACTGTCGAGATGCTAAGACGTGGATGCGCCGAAGCTTGTACTTACATTCCCATGCATGCAATCATTGTAAATTACACAATGAAAAGGAATACAAGAGGTGATGAGCTCCGGAGAGAGTCTCGTATAAATACTAACAATGCACTCACTAATAATAGTGAGGAGCAAACTACAAATCCACGGTGGTGTACCTTCGATACAACACTAAAAAATAAACGCTACCCTACTCCTTGGGTTGGTGCACTACATCAACACCTCATCTTGCACCACACCATCTTGCACATATAAGAAACTCCTTAAATTCTAACACGGGGAGTTATTCAGTTCTTCAATTTCACCGGCAGTTCCTCTTCTCAATTCGCAATTGCAACTTCACAATGCCAATAACAAGATGTATATACGGCCACCTCTTCATTGTATCATATTCTGCTTACTCCTCTTCGAAGATGATCGTGTGAATTCACTGAATTGTGTCTATTTGTCTCACATGAATTCTAGAGTTTATAATTTGGACAATGTCATGGCTTGTCCAAGACTCATCACTCCTATACCTTAGTATAAGAGTGATGAAGCTTGAAGCTTTAAAATTTGACTTTTGCTAGCGGTTTTGTGAAAATATCAGCTAGCTGGTTGGTAGAGGTAACATGGTGAATGTCAATTTCTCCGGATATGATCTTCTCTCTTACAAAATGATAATCAACTTCTATATGCTTAGTGCGTGCATAATACACAAGATTCCGTGCAATCTTCATGCAACTCTCATTGTCTACAAAAATGGAGGTTGTTATCTGATCAAATGGCTTTATTTCCTTGAACAATTGTTGTAACCATACTGCTTTTTTGGCACCCTCAGACAGTGATTGGTACTTTGCTTCTATGGACAAGAGAGCAAAGTAACGGTTGTTTCTTTGAACTCCATGTAATTGATACCGACTCGAGTTGAAACAAGTAGCCAGAAGTTAATATTTAATTTTCACAACCTCCCGCCCAGTCACCATCTGTACAATCACTCATCACAGATGATTCTTCTTTTCGATAAAAAATATCAAACTCTCTTGTGCCTTTGGAGTAACAGAGCACATTTTGTGTAACATCCATGTGTATCTTGCGTGGGCTACTCATGAAGCGGCTGAAAATGCTCATGGCGTACACAATTGCTTGCCAATGATGAGGTGATACAATGTAACATCAGCAGGTTCCGATTCAAGTTCGACACCCAACTTGAACCCTTTTGGTAGTGGCGTTGAAGTTGTTGCAAAGTCACTCATGCCAAATTCGTTCAACATGTTTGATACATATTGTCGTTGACTGAGGAAGATGCCTCCTTCAAGATGCAAGAATTCCACTCCTACATAGAATCTAAAAGTCCCTAGATCCGTCATTTTGAATCTATTTTGTAACTGATCTTTTAACCATGCCATTTTTTCACTATCATTACCGGTTATCAGAAGATCATTTACTCTTAAGCTGTTTGTTTATACAGTGGTTATTTTTTTGGTTTCTCTTTTTGTTTTTGGATTTTT